GGTGGCAGGTGGGGTGGCCAGTAGTGTGGGTGTGAGTGGGGGTGGCCAGTGGTGTGGGTGTGGGTCAGGTGTGGTGTGGGTGGATAGTGGTGTGGTGTGAGTAAAAGAGTGGAGTAGTGGTGTGATTGGCAGGTAGGGTGGGTGAATGAGTGGGTGTGGAGTGGGGGTGGCCAGTAGTGTGGGTGTGGGTGAGGGTGGCAGTGGTGTGGGTGAGGTGGGGTGGATAGTGGTGTGGGTGGCAGGTTGGGGTTTGTAGTGTGGGTGGCAGGTGGGGGTGGGTGGTGTGGTTGTGGGTGGGGGTGGCCGGTGGTGTGGTTGGGTGGGGTGGCCAGTGGTGTGGGTGTGGGTGGGGTGTGTGGTGGGTTGGCCAGGGTGGGGGTGTGGTAGATGCAGGTAGAGATTAGACAATAGTGTGGATGGCCAGTAGAATTGTGGCAGGTAGAGGGTGGCCAGTGGTGTGGGTGCGTAGAGTGGGGTGGGCAATAGTGTGGATGGCCAGTAGAGTGGGTGGCACGTGCGTAGTGGGCGACGCTATCTATACCTGTCACACCACCAAAATAACCAGAGGTCACGGTGTGTGTGTATGAGTATATGTATGTGTTTGTGTATGTATGTATGTATGTATGAAAGTGTGTGTGTAAGAGTATATGTATGTGTTTGTGTATGTATGTATGTATGTATGTATGTATGTATATATGTATGAAAGTGTGTGTGTGGAGGTAGGGGTGACTCAGGTTTGTTTGCAACTCAGTATAAACACTTAAACTCACAAGTCAAACACAAGTCTTGCACACTTGCACAACACGCTAATATATCTCTTATCCAAACATGTTTTAGATTAGCTCTTGCTCATGTGTGTATGTATGTATGTATATGTGTATGTATGTATGTATGTATATGTGTGTATGTATGTATGTATGTGTGAGTGGAATTAGACACATAAATAGAAATGTCATCATAGCTAGAAATTCCACTAGGTATGTGTACAGTATGTGTGTGTGACAGAGAAAGAGAAGGGGAGACAGACAGACAGACAAACAGACAGAGAGAGAGACAGAAACAGAGGCAGCCAGCCAGACAGACAGACAGATTTCACCTCCCTACGCCAATAACCCTAAATATTTTGTTCATATACCTGGAGAGAAAATACTCCCACCCCGTCAATCCTGCCGAAATCTTTGTTTACCCCGTGAGTGGCAGAAAAACAAGTGACGATCACAAGAGTCGAGCCATAGTGTTGACCCCGCCCTGGTGTTAGTGTCATCGCCTTGCTGCAGTGGATGGTCGTGGGTCTGTTGGATAGTCGTAAATCTGTTGAATATTCGTAAATCTGTTGAATATTCGTAAGTCTGTTGGATATTCATAAATCTGTTGGATATTCGTAGATCTGTTGAATATTCTTAAATCTGTTTGGTACATATTCGTAGATTGGATAGAAATTCGTGGCCAGTTGAGTTAGGGTTAGGTTAGTCGTAGGAGGTTTAATCGTCAGGCCTCTCTCTCTGTGGGAGGTCAAGACAGGTCAGGAGAACTTTCACACCCGGGTCATGTTCAAGGTAGGTGTTCTGTGGGGTCAGGTTGAGGGGTCACTCCTGTATCTGACCACATGACTCTGACCCATTTTAAGAACAATATGGAATTTAGATTTTTACACAGTGGTTAGATATAAGAATGACCTGAAAAGAATTCCCTCAACGCTGACCAACTTAATTAACCCAATACTAACTTAACCTAACCTATCTTACCTTAATATATCTGATTTAACCTATCCCACTTTTACCTAACCTTAAACCCACCTTTAACCTAACCTGTCCTAACCCCCGATTTAGAATTATGTTAATCATCAGTTGAAATAATCTAGGGTGCTAATTCAGGTCATTCACAATTACTAACTTCAAATCCACTATAAAGAAAAGAGTTATTAATGAACCGTTTGAAAATATTGACAGTATTTAATTAAGAGTTTTGAGTTTGTGTATGACTGACAGACCCAGAGTGACTGATGCAGGATTGACAGACCCAGGGTGACGTGAGGCAGGGTTGACAGACCCAGGGTGAAGTGAGGCAGGATTGACAGACCCAGGGTGAAGTGAGACAGGATTGACAGACCCAGGAAGTGGAGACAGGATTGACAGACCCAGGGGTGAAGTGGAGGCAGGATTGACAGACCCAGGGTGAAGTGAGGCAGGATTGACAGACCCAGGTGAAGTGAGACAGGATTGACAGACCCAGGGTGAAGTGAGGCAGGATTGACAGACCCAGGGTGAAGTGAGGCAGGATTGACAAACCAGGGTGAAGTGAGGCAGGATTGACAGACCCAGGGTGACGTGAGGCAGGATTGACAAAACCAGGGTGACGTGATGCAGGATTGACAGACCTAGGGTGAAGTGAGGCAGTAGCAGACACACACAGCCACAGTGACCAGCCTAGCGGAACCTCGACAATTCCCCGCCATTTTGTCATGGTATGGAAGCAAGACAACCAAGAGGAGGAGAGCTATGCAAATTTTACATCACCCCCCGCCCCTTCCCCACATCATTCCTCCCTCCCTCCTTCTTCCTCCTCCTTCTTTTCTTCCTCCCTCCTTCTTCCTCCCTCCTTATCCTACATAACCCCCGTATCTCGTGTCTCCCTTCACCGTTTATCTTCTTCCTTCTCTTTCCATTTTCCTCCCTTCTGCTTTTTTTCCTCTTTCTCTCTCTCTCTCTCTCTCTCTCTCACCTCCCTTCTTCCTCCTTGTTGACGCCTCCCCTCACCCCCCTCCTCCTCCTCCCTGTAACACAGTGAGGGGAAAGAGGGGGGGAAGGAGACTGAGAATGGGGCGTGTCTTGAGTCTGGCCAGTTTCACCCAATCACAGAGCAACTCCTCTCCTCCTCCCATTATGCCATTACGTAGTTGAGTCGTTTACTACTGTCAGTGGCCAACCAGAGAGTGGCTTGATAAGTCTTCATTCTTATTCAACGTTTATGTTATTGTTCTGAATGATGTATAACGTTTGTTCATTTACGTTTTATGGCGACGAAGATCTTGTTACACAGTGTTCATTCTTAGAAATATTGTTATTGTTCGGTTGTTCTTGTCTCTATTTATTCATCGGTGTTTATTAGAACGAAAATTTATATGTTTTATGGTAGAGGATAACGTTAAAAATGGATAGTATATCGACTTGGAGTTGAGAGGTCAAATTTCTTCATGGTTGGTATTTCAACTTTATCGCCATAATGTTCCATCACTGTAATGTCCACCAGATAACAACTTAACCTAATAATTAAATTATACCATCTTAACCCAACCAAAGTTAACCTAACACTGACCATTTCTGTTGAGGTGTGTCCATAAACGATACTTTTACGTTCACTCGACGATTTTTAGATAAAGAGAGAAAATAAAGAAAGGGAGAAAGTAATGAATGACGGAAGCATGTGATCATCTAGGCCTTGTTATATCTCTCTCTCTCAATTTTCTCAACTCTCTTTCTCCCTCCTCTACTGTCATGCAGATATCCCTCGTTGTAGTGAACGTAATGCCTGCACACGCACTCGCACGCGCCGGAACGTGCTGCTGCTCCTAGAGAGAGAGAGAGGAGGAGAGGTACTATTGCCCACGAGATTCCTCCATTCATACACGCCTCACTAACATCAAGTGAGACAGTCGGTGTTCAATGCATGTTTATCTCTCTCTCTCATGAGAATTCTTCCAATTTCTTCTCTGTCATTTTCTAAATTTTTGTGTGTTGAACAATTTCTCACATTTTTTTTTTTCTTCCTTTTTCCTCTCCCTGTTTTTCCTCCTCTTCCCTCCTCCTCACTCTTTCCTTCCCTTCTTCTCTCCTCCTTCCCAATCTTTTCTCCTCATCTCTTCCAACCCTGTCATCTCCTCTTTCGTCCCATTCTCACGACTTCCTTCGTCACGTCTCCTGCTCCTCCCGTCACCACAGAATGGCCCGAAAAATGGCCCTCAAACTTTCACCCACAATCTCCCCTCACCTCTTCCTCACCCTCCCTCTCCCTCATCTCCTCTCCCTCCCCTCCCCTTCCCCCCCTCCATCTCCCTCCTCTCCCCCTCCTCCCTCCTCCTCCCCCTCCCTCCCTCTCCTCCCCCCCTCCCTCTCCCTCTCCCCTCCCCCCCTCCCTTCTCCCTCCCCCTCCTTCTCCCTCTCCTCCCCCCTCCTCCCTCCCTCCCCCCTCCTCCCTCCTCCTCCTCTCCCTCTCCTCTCCCCCCTCCCTCTCCCTCCCCCCTCATTCTCCCTCTCCTCTCCCCTCCCTCCCTCCCCCTACTCCTCTCTCCTCTCCCTCCTCCTTCTCCCCTCTCCTCGCCCCCTCCTTCTCCCTCACCCTCCCTCTCCTCCTCTCCACCTCTCCTTGTCCCTCTCTCGCCCCCCTCCTTTATCCTCTCCTCATTCTTCATCTTTCCTCTCCTCCTCCTCGCCCTCCTTTATCCCTCTCCTCTCTCCTTCTCCTTTCCCTCCCCGACCTCTACTCCTGTGATATTTTCCCTTGGTTAACAATGAAGGACAGGTAGTTAAGTTCATCTTGTGTTCACCTTCCTTGATGAACACTGACGAGGTGCGTTATTGTTCATCTTTTGTTCACCTTCCTTGATGAACACTGACGAGGTGCGTTATTGTTCATCTTTTGTTCACTTTTCCTTGATGAACACTGACGAGGTGTGTTATTGTTCATCTTGTGTTCACCTTCCTTGATGAACAATTAAACCAACATAAACCAAGACAATAATGTGACTTAAATCATTATTAAAACAAAACAATATCACGAAGTAAACTATTGTAAACCAAATCAATAACTGTGATTTGAATTATCGTAAACCAAGAAAGAAAAAACCCTATTGTAAACCACTCAAAACATCGCGACCTAAACCAAAATAAACCAATAGACTGAATTAGTGACACTAAGACAATTATATCCCGATATAAACCAGACATAAACCAAGATCATAAACCCATGGACAGGTGAGGTAGTGAGAGCCCTCCCTCACTAACTACACCTGGCGAGGTGAGGGAGGAGGAGGAGGGCAGTGGTTTGGGAAGTAACAATGCAGGTAAAGTCACCCTCCCCTCCCTCCCTCCCCCTCCTCCCTCCCTCCCTCCCCCCCCCCCACCCTCACCCCTAGTAAATGTTTCTCACACACACACACACACACACACACTCAAAGCCCATATCTCCTCATCTCTCCGTCTCCCTCTCACCCCCCTCACCCCTCCTCCCCCTCCATTCTCTTCATACCTCCGTCTTCCATCACTGTTTCTCTTGATATTCCTTTTCACTCCCTCTTCTGTACTCTTCTGCTTCCTCCTCTTCTTCCCTTTCCTCCCTCCTCCCCTAGGCATTCCTTCACCATTGTCCCTCCTTCCTTCTCTCACGTTTCTTCCCTCCCCCTCCTTCCTTCCTTCCTTAGTTCCATCCAATCATTCAATCAGCGTTCTCTTATCCCACCATCTTTCTCTCTCTCTCACACACACACACACACACACACACACACACTGGAATAAACTAGTTGAAGGTGTTTGAGTGAGGCTACTGGTGGTGGTGGTGGTAGTGAGGCAGGAGACCGGCCAATAGGTAACTCCTCCTCTCTTCCTTCCTCCTTCTCCTCCATTCACTACCACCTCACTTACTCATATCCACCTTTTTGGCTAACGTGGCGTATGAGCAACTGGATTAAATATTGATCTGGAGGAATCAGTCGATCAATTTTGTGGTCGTGAGAGAGTGAGAGGGGGGTGGGTGGGGTAAGGATAGGGAGTGGGAGGGAGAAATGGATAGGGAGTAGCAGAGAGGGAGAGAGAAGGGGTGACAGAGGGAGATAGGGAGAGAGAGGAAGGTAGGAAGGTAAACTAGGTAGTACTCACGTATTACGTATGTGTTTTATGTGGACGCTAAGACTAAATTCAGGACCTTGTGTTATCCCTTTGCTGAGGCCTGTTGGTGGACTGGCTCAGACGCTGGCCAGATTCAAGGTTAATGAGGAGTGTCAGAGTGTGTAATATTTCTTGTTGTGTAATCAATCGTTGTAGCGACTGATGTGTTGTTGTGAAGTTCGATGATTTGATTTGGATTCATTTTTGTTGTAGTTGTTGTTTTTTGTGGTTTGTTATCACTCTCTACAGGTGCTGTGGTAGATGATGTAGTAGTTGTGTTGTAGATACGTGTAGCAACTGAGAGATCACGCCAGTCTATTTAACCTGATGATTAAACACCTTAACTGTCAGTTAGGTGCAGTAAGGTGGTTAGGTTACTGGCTTGTGTTAGGTGGAGTAAGGTGATGGTGTCGGATCTTCACGTGATCAGGAACTGTTGCATTTTGACACTTGTTAGTGATGTAACCACAATTGTAAAGCATAATATCTCGTTGGTCTGATGTAATATATGTGACCCGGAGGCTTTTTTCCGTGTGTGTGTGTGTGTGTGTGTGTGTGTGTGTGTGTGTGTGTGTGTGTGTCGTAAGTAACCCTTATAATACAGTACAATGGAGTTCAATTTTTTTGTCAAGACTGTAATACAACTTTTCCTCCTCCTCCCTCCTCCCCCTAACAACACCAACAAGGTTCCATCACTCAGAAATAACATATTCTTGTGTTTTTCCTTCCTCGTCCTTCCCCTCCACCACCTCAGTCTAAGGTAACTATGATAATAACACCAAAAAACAACAGTGGCTTCATCCTGCCTTCTCCACCAAACTACTGTCAACCCCACATAACCCTTTATAAAAGTGTTACCTATCAGCTAACATGTGACCACGCACCCTCCACCACCACCAGCCACCCACCCAGCCAGCCCAGCCAGCCCAGCCAGCCAGCCCAGCCAGCCCAGCCAGCCCAGCCAGCCAATCCCTGCCTGTTTCTCGCTACTTGTTACCTATTAGTAAATCCTTTAGCACAGTGTTATGTCATTTAATGTGGTATATCTATCGGTGGTGAGGTGACAGTAGTAGTGATGGGGAGTGTGGTGGTGGTGGTGGTGATAGAGTGCATTTTGTGTGTGGATGCACGTCTCTCTCTTTGACTAACCAACAGTGATGGGCCGGGTGAACACCAACACACACACACACACACACACACACACACACACACACACACATATACTTTTGCATACACACACACACACACATACACTTTTACATACACACGCACATATTTACTCACGTATACAGACATATTCATACACATGCATACACCACACACATACATTCACCTTCACATACTATACATATTGATACGTGAACACTGTTGTAAATATTCTCTCTCTCTCTCATACTGTGGCTCGAGTAAGAACATCCGCCCCGTTAATACTATTTATCCAGAGTGAGATACGTTCTGATGATCTGGTGAGGGGCTGGGTGAGGGGGCAGTATTTCCTCTCATGACGGGGAACACCCACCTCCACCTCCTCCACTTGGCTTACACCACCACCACCAATTCCACTTGTACCATCACCTCCATCACCACCTCCACCATCACCTCCATCACCACCACCACCACCACCACCCACCACCTCTACACCACCACCCACCACCACCACCACCCACCTCCACCTGCCACACCACCACCACCAATCCACTTGTACCATCACCCCATCACCACCTCCACCATCACCTCCATCACCACCACCACCTCCATCACCACCTCCACCATCACCTCCATCACCACCACCACCACCTCCATCACCACCACCACCCCCACCACCCTCCACCTCCTCCACTTGGCACACCACCACCACCAATTCCACTGTACCATCACCCCATCACCACCACCACCTCTACCACCACCACCACCTCCATCACCACCACCACCTGTACCACCACACCACCACCTGTACCACCACCACCACCTCTACCACCACCACCACCTCTACCACCACCACCTCTACCACCACCAACCTCTACCACCAATCCCACCACCACCACCACCTCTATCACCACCACCACCTCTACCACCCCATCACCTCACCACCACACCACCACCACCACCACCACCACCACCACCTCTCACCCCACCATCACCTCACCACCCCACCACCACCTCAACCACCCCACCACCACCTCCACCCCCACCCACACCACCCCCAACCACCACCACCTCTACCCACCACCAACCACACCACCACCACCCCAACCCACCAACCACCACCATCCACCACCACCACCCCACCACCACCACCACCATCCACTCACCACCACCACCTCCACCACCACCAATAACTCCACCACCAACCACCACCTCCACCACCCCACCACCACCCCACCACCCCACCACCACCCCACCACCACCACCACCACCAACCCCACCACCACCACCACTCACCACCATCACCCACCTCTACCACCACACCACCATCCACCACCACCACCACCTCTACCACCACCACCACCCCTACCACCACCACCTCTACCACCACCATCACCTCTACCACCACCATCACCCTTCCACCACTTTCACCAAACCCATCACTACAACTTTATGGTGATAATTCCCTGTCAGAAAATCTCTGCCAAAATAATACAATTACACGTATAGCAACAGTGTTCAGGTATAATAATAAAAATTAATAATAATAATAATAATAATAATAATCAGCTACATTTAATTACTTATTGGTATAAACACTGGCTATGGGCTTGATTCTGTGTAATGGGTGACTTACACACACACACACACATACAAGGGGGGGGGGGTTACTGCTAACCCCACCACTAGACAATACAGGGGTCAGGTATGATGGCAGTGTGTGGAATGTCTACCACCACCACGGACACCACTACCACACCACCATCCTCCCTAACCTCCTACCCCATAAGACAAAATACCATGGCCAACCATGATACCCTATTAGACAAAATCATAACAAGAGGAGTTTTTCAATTGTTTAGAGATAGAGGAAAGTGGGGTGTGATACGTCATTGGTTGGTAGCGCTGTCTGTGAGAACAGAGTGCGTCACCGCCCAGATCTGACACCTGCCACCACCACCACCACCTTGACATCTGCCACCCTACCAACACCACCACTGTCACCATCAACACCACCACCATCAACACCACCACCACAACCACAACCACCACTACCTCCACCACAACCACCACTACCTCCACCACAACCGACACACTATCGCTCAGCGCCCGAGTTATCATGGGTAAAGTAAGAGTGAACAGGAAGTGATATATACTGTCACCACCATTGACTGAGTGAACCTTCCTCCCCTCTGCCACCATCCTCCTTTCCTACTATCACCCTCCACCACAACCACCACTACCACCATCCTCCCCCACCACCACCACAACCATCCTCCCCACCACCACCACCACCACTACCACCATCCTCCCCACCACCACCACCACCATCCCTCCCCACCACCATCCTCCAACTCAACTCCCCCACCACCACCACCATCCTCCACTACCACCACCACTCACCATCCTCCCCACCACCACCATCCTTCCCCCACACCACTACCACCATCCTCCCCACCACCACCACCATCCCTCCCCCACCACCACCACCATCCTCCCCCACCACCACCATCCTCCCCCCACCACCACCATCCTCCCCACCACCACTACCACCACACCAATCCTCCACCACCACCATCCAACCATCCACCACCACCCACCACCACCACCACCACCACCACCACCACCATCCTCCCCACCACCACCACCCTCCCCACCACCACCACCACCATCCCCACCACCACCACCATCCTCCCCACCACCACCACTACCACCACCACCATCCTCCACCACACCATCATCACCACCACCCACCTCACCACCACCATCCTCCCCCCACCACCACCACTACCACCATCCTTCCCCACCACCATCACCACACCATCCCTCCACCACCACTACCACCACCACCACCACCACCACCACCACCACCACCATCCCTCCACCAATCTCACCACCACCACCACCACCACCACCACCACCACCACTCACCACGACCACCATCCTCCACCACCACCACCACCATCCTCCACCACCACCACCATCCTCCCCCATCACCACCTCCACCATCCCACCACCACCACCACCATCCTCCACCACCACTACCACCATCCTTCCCCACCACCACTACCACCTCCACCACCACCACCACCACCACCACCACCACCACCCCACCACCACCACCACCATCCCTCCCCCCCACCACCACCACCACCATCCTCCACCACCACCACCACCACCACCACCACCACCACCACCACCACCATCCTCCCCACCACCACCCACCACCACCACCACCACCACCACCACCACCACCACCACCACCACCACCACCACCATCCTCCCCCACCACCACCACCCTCCCACCACCACCACCACCATCCTCCACTACCACCACCACCCTCCCTCCCCCCACCACCACCACCATCCTCCCACCACCACCACCATCTCCCACCACCACCATCACCATCACCACCACCACCACCACCACCACCACCACCACCACCACGACCACCATCCTCCACCACAATCATCATCACCCACCACCACCCCACCATCCTACCACCACCACCACCACCACCACCACCACCACGACCACCATCCTCCACCACCACCACCACCATTCACCACCACTATCACCACCACCATCCACCACCACTCATCCACCACCACCACCATCCTCCACCCCAGTCACGTTCTTGCAGCCGGGAAATGGTCGTGTGTTGGGGATAAGCGTAACTCATCCTCACCAACACCTCCCTCCCATACCCCTGATAGTCTGGACTCCTGACTGCACCTTCATCTCCTGCTTGCCTCCTGCTTGCCTCCTCCTTCATCTTCTGCTTGCCTCCTGCTTGTTTTCTTCATCTCCTGCTTGCTTCTTGCTTGTTTTTTTCATCTGCTGCTTGCCTCCTCCTTCATCTCCTGCTTGCCTCCTCCTTCATCTTCTGCTTGCCTCCTGCTTGCCCCCTCTTCATCTCCTGCTTGCCTCCTGCTTGTTTCTTCATCTCTCCCACTTGCCTCCTCCTTCATCTCCTGCTTGCCTCCTGCTTGCCCCCTCCTTCATCTCCTGCTTTCCTCCTACTTGCCTCCTCCTTTATCTCCTGCTTGACTCCACACACTACCTCAGCCCCACCCAACCCAACCTCACCCCCACACAACCTCACCCTACACAACCCAACCCAACCTCACCTCACCCCCACACAACCCAACCCAACCCAGCCTCACCCCACACAACCTCACCCCCACACAACCCAACCCAACCTCACCCAGCCTCACCCCGTAGATAGCATTAGTTTGATTAATTTACACGTGTCTTAACCCAGAGGAAACGAATCTCCAGGTAGTGTTGTGTTGTTTCTCTGTTCCCTTTGAAATAGATGTTTCTCTCACACTGCATAAAAAAACTTCCACCTTCTGGTACGTATCTTCGTGAACCACCTTTGACAGGGGTACCAACTGTTGGGATGGCGACCTTGAGTGGCCTTACCTGATTCTGATATTAATGATAAGTAAATTGTCTGTTGCTTTAATGAATCCCTGGTGATGGTGTGTTAATGTGATGGTGTTTATTGTTGATTTGTGTTTAAGTATTGTGTATGATGGTGGATTATTAGTTGTGTATGTTGTGTATATTTTAATGAGTTTGTATATTGTGTAAAGAAGTAACCACCCCTCACACATTTAACCTTGCCCCCCCCCTCTCTCTCTCTCTCTCTCTCTCTTCTCTGGTATATAATGCTCACTAAGATAATGAACTGAATACATTATACTTACTAAATGTTAACCTGGTAATCACTGCTTCCTTATAGTAACTAATACACCTGTTTGTACCTGAGGCGGTATTGTTCAGTACATGTGTGTGAAGATTTTGCTGTCTTGCTCAATGGGTGAAATTAATCATAATAATAATAATAATAATAATAATAATAATAATAATAATAATAATAATAATAATAATAATAATAATAACAACAACAACAACAGTCATAATAATAATAATAATAATAATAATAATAATAATAATAACAATAATAATAATAATAATAATAATAACAAGTCATAATAATAATAATAATAATAATAATAATAATAATAATAATAATAATGTGTCCAGTGATAAAAGTCATACTAAACATCGTTATTGATTCTAAAGTGGCTCATTTGACTTCCGTTAAAGCAACAGTATTGAGCCACGTAACCCACACGCTCACATGTAAACAATAGGTTCACCTCTCATTGTAGATTATAAATACCAGAGACCAGTATTCACTTATAACTACTGTACACTAATACTATTAAAACTAATATTTGTGCATCTAAGTGGATTCATTTTCGGCTCGTAGTGGATTCGTTTTAGGTTCGTAGTGGATTCATTGGTTCGTAGTGGATTCATTTTAGGCTCGTAGTGGATTCATTTTAGGCTCGTAGTGGATTTTTTTAGGCTCGTAGTGAATTCATTTTAGGCTCGTAGTAGACTAAGTAAATAAAAATGTTTATATATAGGTTGAGATAATTATGATGTGTTGTTATTATATATTTAGTATATAATATTAACACAGTAGACTATGTTATGGTGATGGTAAGCTGACTGTATGGTGCCATATGTTCTTGTAGAGATGAGGGTTACCAATAAATCGATTTTTTTTTTGTTTAGGAGGCCAGATCAGGGGTTCGTAGGTGGTGTGAAACCGCGTGATACTGTGTGTGTGAGTGTGTGTAACTAACCTCACATTACATAATATAACGTAAACCTAACATAACCTAACCTAACTTTACATAATCTAACCTCACAATACATAACATAACGCTAACCTATCACGATGCTAGCTTAACCTAACATTACATAACTTAACCTCACATAACATAACCTCACGTAACATAGGTGGCGTACAGGTGTTAAACATTCAGTGAAGTAAACTAGGGGGCTAATCCTCAGGTAATCCGGTAAACATAAGAACAAACTGACTTTGAACCTCTGAATTGGCTTCCCAAAATCACTACCACTGACCACCATCATCAATATTCTGTAAACTTCAAAATTATGAAGCCAAGATTCCCTCTTGTGTTATCAGTGACATCAATCACACCCGGAGATAAGAGTGACGTTGCATAGATCAATATATCATTCACTTCACTAAATTATTTATGATAGTACAAAGATACACACCCAAAAAAATCAATTATTATTAAAAGACCTGTACAGTGGGTTAAAATCTTGGAGTAATGTGACGTGGAAATAACTGTAAAGTCTACAATACAGTGTAACGGAGGCATGAGAAACAAAAGAAACCCTAAACGTTTAGATTGAGGAGTAGAGGCGCTGTGTGTGTGTGTGTGTGCGTACGTGTGTAAGAGTGTGTGAGGGTGGGAGGGAGGCGCGGCTGGTCCCGGCTGGCTAGCGAGCCGGAATGACGGGGTTTACACGACGAGACCCGCGTACCTGGCGCTGATAACCTGCCCATACTGTGATAATGGCAGCGATATGCTTACACAGGCCTACTGGTGAACAGACGTGGTGCAGTTGCTGTGTCCAAGAGTTAAAGTGATTTATTGTTTACATTGTGTTCATATGTGTTAAAGGGTGCGCACCCGTTATACTTAATTGCCAATGTAAAACTTTTACTTTGGCTTTACTTGCATCAACTAATTTGCTCTGGACAAGTTGCTTTTCAGTGGCACGCAAAGTTTATGCGAATTTGCTTCATGAATTTAAAATATTTCTAAATATTTTATGGTTAACTGAACGTTTTTTTAAACGTAAGAATACGGTAACATGCAAAAGGAGCAGAAAAACAGTAAACCCTCACTAAAATACCTTAATAAGTCATCATCTTATACAAGTGTGACGTGTAATGAGCAGCATATAAATCAGTGATCGGGAACAATCATAACCTAACCTCCACCATAGGTATTCCATACACGCTTTCACTGGCTTTGTCCTTGGTGAACGGCCCCGGAGGTTGGCAGCCCTGCTCAGCTCACCACTATGGAGGATGTAGAAAATGGAGAACAAAAGTGGATACCGTTGTCTGGCTCATACCAGTTTTTTCTGTTTTGTGGAATATTCATCGCATTTTATCCGTATTATTTTTCAAGTGAAATGAAAATGCATTTTGAGCGTTTGTTTAATTTTTAAAGAGCCTTTAAATACCTGGGAGCTGAGGATCGAACTTGTGTGCCCGTTTTCTATACACTTCCAGTGACGTTTTGCCTGCAGCAGCTGGTCAGATGTTTCAGTTTAGATTAGGCTCTCACTGCGAGCAGACGTGTTACACCTCAGCTCCTGGTTAGAAAGTTTGTGTGAAGAAGAGCACTTTCTGAAAAACGTTTAAAGCTCGTCCTTTGGATTATATATCTTATTCTGAGTGTTACCAGGTGTGTAATGTGCTTATACGGTTATTTAGTCTTGAGTTAAGAGTGTTGTGAAGTTGTGCGGTGATAGTGTCTTTGTGACAATTTGTTTAACAGACATTGCGAAGTCATTTGTTAATTTCCTGTATTTTATAAATTATTTCATTATGTCCGTATTGGAATTTAACCTGATGAAAAGTGTATTACTAAATAGATTTAAGCGTTGTGGACATATAAAGAGAAGTTTCAATCGGATTTTCGTAAGTACTTATGAGTGTCGGGTTTTGGAACTTAGGTTTTTAGCATAGTGCTGATACCCGGGTTGTGGGTGATGCTTGCGTGTGTCCACCCATAGCGGGACGGGAGGAGTGGAGCGAACTGTAGTGTGATCACAACCTCACGAAGGAGGTAACGGTTCCGGACAACAGTTCGCACGGTTGGCGTGTAGCTGCACTAGTTAAGTCATCTTTAGCAGTGGTGGTGTTCACACGTTGTCTTGTAGGGTGTTACTGCAAGCCTACGAGGTGATGGCACATTTCACACGGAACCTCTATGTTAATATAAAACGATTAACAAGTTATTAACCTTTTACAAGTGTTGGGGACTTTGTCATAATTTATCGTGTTTTTAGTTTCCTGGTGAGCATTAACTATAATCACGAGTAATTGTTAATTTTATAAACAAAATGAATCTGAACGATTTTTAGTAGTTATTATCTTTCATAAACAAGGATAATACTCCAGAAATGTTAGTATGGTTATCGTGAGAACTAGTTAAAATTTTAAAAGATGTGGATAGGAATTTTGACAAATTAAACTATGTAGCGACGCACGAGTAGTGTCATTGTGTCAGGTTGTTCGTCCAACATTGCACAATAGTGAATAATACCACTAGTGCTTGGTGAGGCTCCACTGCTGGCTCCCACACACAGGCTAGTTTCCGTGTCTCACACAAGTAGGTCGCCTCAACCCAACACGACCGAGAAGGGATATTTCTGTGTATTTGTGAATATTGTGTTGTTTTAACTTGTGTGCGGGGAATATGGTTGTTTTTTTAAAGAAAGGTCGCACTTGGTGATGGGAAGAGAAAGGAGGCTGAAAATGTTGTGTTGATAAAAATTCGTGCTGTTGCTAGGTCTGAGTGCGATATATGTATTGTAATTATTGTTGGATGTAATATAATTTGTTTATGGACTTTATTTTTCCAATATAGATGTTGTTGAACTTAGGTTTTGTGTTATATTAAAGTGGTAACAGGTGAAGGATGTGTATGTGTGACCTAATTTTAATAATAACAAGTGCAGTTTGTCCCCATCAAATAATGAGATTAATAATACACCATCATGACCCCACACGGAAGCAATTGTGGTTGACGGTGCACCAAGGTTGCAGTGTCGATACAAATGGAAGACAGGTGATTATGGTGAAGGCCGCCTCACCTTAGCTATCGTGTACCCTCCCCACCACGGCAATGTTCCCACCGCAGTATCCCCCTGTTTTGTGGAGCACCTGGCTGCCAGTATTCAGGGTCCGAGAATACTAACGGCGGTCTAGGCTAGTATCGGCTGAAGTTTAGTGCTGGTGCTTTGGAGGAGAGAAAGTGTGGAGCCTGGTGATCACAGCAGCCTGTCTGTTGCTGATGGGGTGAAACTCTTTCTGGCATCACGGATATGTTTATGAGCTGGGAAGATTATATCAGTATGTAGTGCGAATCCTAAAGCTTTAAAGCTGCTGAGCAAACATTTTGTTCAGTAGTTGCATCATTTAAAACCTGGGGTGATGCTTTGTGGGGACTTTGCAACCTGGCAGTATGTGTCATTGGTTTATAGCAGTCGCTTGTCAGAGGTGACGGTTTTCATCATTAGTTGAAGATTTTGACGCAGTAGCCTTGGCATGGATTTCAACAAGTGCTTTGCTGATTGTCGTCTCGCTGGCCTGCACTTGACGTTCTATAAGGAATTCAGTAGTTTGCTCGTATAAGGCGTTCTATTTCTGTAAACAGTTGGTGACTGAAGTATCAATACAAGCTGCTTGTTATCCTGTCAAAATTTCACTTTGATTTTAATGAAACAAATTTGTTTTTGCTTATTGTTAACAAATATTTCATCTGGCGTTTTGAAATGCCTCCTGTTCCACCTGGCTGGGCCCGTCACCCATCCCTGGGACTGTTCTACCTTCCGTCTTTCTCTTCCGCTACCCCGGCCCCCTGGCAGCAGCAGCGTCGCGTCCCTGGGACTGTGTGAACCTGGCCCAGCTGACCCTGTCCCACTTACACGCTCTCGGAGACGCACACACGCTCCTACGCACATAGGCACGTGTTAGCCTCTACCCATCACCAGCATATATTCTATTCATGCAGATCATCATTTGTTGACCTGTGCTTATAAATGACTATGGGTGAGGGTGTGGATTCACTCGCCTCAACGTGCTAGCCATTGAATGACAATTAATCTGTTGGTGGAGTAGCTTTAAATCCGCTTCCAGTTACGTGGATCAACGTAGCAGGTTTGGCGTATCTCGCTGACATGCGAGGATGCAAGGCTACAATGTACACAACGCCGACGGCTTGAGCCCCTCCCTCATGAGTCTACACCCGTTGACCCACATCCTTGTGGCCGCCACCCAATGTGTGGCCTCAAGATCGATTAGGTTGTAGTTTGACCGTCTTGCCAGCAAGCACTGAAGGTTACTCTAACCCTTTTTCTGGTTATGTTAATCAGAGCGAATACGTGGTTCTGAGAATAGTATTTTATGAACGTTATCACGACAGTAGCGGTATTGTGTGAGCGGTTAGGGGGGAGGGAACTTTACATTTTGGGCGGCGTGGGAGAGAGGGGAGAGGATCTGCCCTACAGATGTTAGTGGAGGGTGGGGGGGATGGGTAGCGGCTGGTGCAGGTCGTTGTGGTTGAGAAAAGGATGGCGTGTAAGGTGATCATTGTCCAATTAAAACATACTCGATAATGGTAAATATTGAGTGAAATTGGTTCAGTAACCATTAAGACGGTGTTTTACCATGTTCTAGGTATTATTTGTCCTTGCTCCATATATTTGGTTGGTTTTTACGTTTCCTGGACACCGCCTAATTTCACTATTAAAATATGGTCTTACATTTTGTTAATGTTTAATAAAGTCTTGTTTTCTGTAAAGCAACTGCCGTGCAATAAATGGTTAAAACATCGTTAAGAAAATATTGGTCGATAAGAATGTAGGTGAAAATCACCAGACGAGAGTAGAGTGAGGTGGTGGTGGTGCGGTACGACATGTTCCGGCAGCGTCTCGCCGGTGTTGTTGGAGAACATATGATAGTATCTGGTCGAGTTTACACCGGATTATGTCACTAAGGAGCTTTGACAAATGTTATTTTATATTAAACATGAGCATTTAAGGGATTTATTTTTTCATAATGTGTTTTATGTATCGTATATGCTTAATTTTTTTTTATAATGGCAGGCATTCTTAAATAGGTTCTAAGTGTGTATTAACGTAGTAAAGTATCTCTTGAGTTTAATTTCTTATAATTGCACAGTACAGTATGTCTGTTAGGCGATGATTGTTGGTTGGTTCTGTAATACTTAGTTCTTGGGTTCGTGCGGTTGTTACTTTATTGAGTGTGTTTTACGATTAAGGTAGTAAAGCACCAGTAAAAGAGACCTTAGGTCGTGCTAATTATGTTAAGATTAGCATTACTGTTAAAGTCTCAGTAACTTGTCAGCTGGTAGCCTGGGGCACCGTGGGAAAATGAAAAGACTATGAATTATGGCATTAGGTGTTAAACGCCGACTCATTCATTTTTGTTTCATTACTTATTAAAGTTTTGAAGAAATATTTTAAGAACTGTAAAGGGAAGCTTCAGTTACAGCCTTCCATAGAGGCACGTGTACGTGTGCTGATAATTGTTTAGATGTGAAGTAAATTGAAGTTTATAAAAACTCTCTGTATGTATAAGTTTATAGGATAATTACACATGTAAATTGCATCACGTGCTAAATATGATGTATTGTTGAGACAGATGTAGTAACAGTATTGCAAGTCTGCGGTACGATATATTGGGACGTCGTCGTCTCCATACATTTAGTTAGCCTTGGATCGGGAATCTCCACCCGGTACGACATGTTTTCCCCAGACCCACGCGAGGGGAGCAGTTAAAGCAACGAATTGGTAACTCAGCACGACCTGGGGATTTGGGGGGCGGGGGAGAACTCCACCTATGGGTGCTCTGTCGATGATGTAAATTAAAGGATACGTTATTGTTTTTATTATGCTTTTATCACAACTGTGTTGAAAGCGTAAGAATGTTGAATTGGATATGTTCTTGAGTGGCGTAAAGTTCCCTTTTAACTTACATATTCATTGCCAGTAGTACTGACTGTTAAAGTAGGAAATATTATTATACTGTATATTGTTATTTTCTTCACTCACTAGTGTTTTCCGAGTGTAAGGATGACGTATCTGGCCAGGACCAATGACGCATCTTATCCAGGAAAATCCCCCCAGGAGGAAAGATGTGTCGTTTTCATTGTTAAGTACTTGTGTTGTTGCACATACACAGTATCATATAACATCCCGTATGTTTTCCCGCCACATTGGTTCTCATTTCCTTTGAAAGTTTTTAAGTTTCAAACTGTGTCACTCAAGGGAACAGCCACTCCGGTATGAACTCAGTCTTTAGTGTCCTTGAAAATTTATATCGGATTGCCGCTTTAGTACGACTAGTCTGTCAGTGCTAACTTTAAAGTTGTATAAATGTGTGTAGCGTGGTTGAATGAGTGCCCAGGGGTAGAACTGACCAGCTGTCATGGCTCCATATATCTTCAAGGCCGCCGCTTATCTTAAGAAGTCGCAGGGAAGTGAGGAAGGTGCGGCAGCATATTTACAGGGAACTTGCGGACTTTCCGAGAGCTCTCAGGGGTAATCTCCCTCCACACCTTTTAATTTTCCTCATTACGTGTTGCTGTCTGGGAGATGATTCCTGTTTATTAGACGATACGTCTGTGTGTAGTGTAAGGTTATTCTAATTAAATGTCAGATATCGCAGCCCACTAGGAGCGGGGCATGTCCCTTGCTCATACGGCCCTGGACGCATATGAGGATTCTGGGACTTTGTGACGTCATTGTCTTTACTGAGAGCCAGGATGTCCGCCGCTCCACAGAACGGTGCATTCCAGGAACACGAGATGATTTATCGCTGAGGGTCTCTACAACACTACTAGGGGTATTTACTGACATGCTAAAGGATCATTTTAAGACAAAAATTGTGCTGCATTTATTATTCATGTTGTAAGTAGTGTAATAAACATGGTGCGACAATTGGCATTACAACTAGCGCCCACATGCAACGTCATACTGATGTTGACGTGACCAAGTGACGTTGGCGTGACGTCACAGCTAACTGAGCCTGTGATTGGTTCGAGAGGGAAAATCACGCCTACTTTAGTTGCCACTCGTCCCACCACTCTCGTTTTCTACCAGTTCTATTCGTCTACATCGCCCGAGAGAGTGGGCGAGCAGGGTGAGCGAAACTCTTTGAAACCCAGGGAACTGCGAGGGCGTCAGGTTGCGTTTCGTGGTAAAGGCAGAGGCGTCACACGTTGGTGGCTGGTTGGCCCTGGTGGTGGTGGGGCTGCATGAGAGCGACTGACTCAGATACCCAAGCAACAAGTGTGCTGTCGGTCGGGTGGTAGTGAGCTCCGAGGCTACTGTCCCATAGTCCCGGGAAAAATAAACTTACGTCATAGTAGACTTTGGACACAGTTCTTGGATATTAGCAACAGTTGAACTTAAGCTGTCGCCTATCGTGCATAATGGTGACATTGAGACATAGAGGTACGAAGCCTTCCTCAGTGGTATTTGTTTTGTTATATTCACTTGTGTAACGTTTTAGACTTTGTCGTTCACTGAAGTGTTGATGAGTCATACCTTGGTGATGGCCTATGGTAGGGTCACAGTGACTTGTGGGTGACTTTGATTTTGGTAATTTATCCAAATAAAGTTTAAAGAAATTTGAAAATAATTAGTCTGATTTGTCTTAGTCTGTAAAGTTGTCAGTATACAGCAGATACTGAGCTGTTGTACTGTGTCTTTTACGGTTGTTTTTATTAATGCTGTGTATAATACAGTGTGTGTGTGTGTGTATAGTTGTGTAACTTTTTTTTTCTCTTGTTGACACAGGTGGTAGTCCGAGTATGGCCATCGACGCCAGTGGTGTGTGGCCGAACCACCCCAGTGCACGACGTGGTACTCTCGCCACCTACAAGTTCCGCGTACGTGAGGAGCGCAAACGGGTGATTCGACTCTCCAACGAAAAGTACCGCACCATTGAAGACCATGAGAGTGGCCTTCGGAGAGTTGTGCTTATCAAGTGAGTATGAACCACTTCCCGAGTTTTGACAAATAACTTGAATTAATATTTTTGAGACATGAATTCTTTGGAGACTTTTTAAAAACTAGATTGAGGTGATTTTTTTTAGATCATAATATGTCATGCAATTTTTTAAGACCGCTTAATGGGAATTTTTTTAACGAATTGGTCTACATATTATTTTTAGAATTAAGGATTATAAATACTGTAACATTGTGAACTAGTGACTAAAAACTGTTTCTATCTTCTCTAGGAACACACTGAGACGACTGCAGCGTGAGGCTCGAGAGGAGAAGCTGGCACGTCACCGGGCTGGCAGCACTAACGTGTCTCCCTCGTATCTGTCTGCCTCCCGCCCCCGCTCCCCCTCCCCTCCCTGTGACATGCAGGTGTCCGACGTGCTGAGCGTGTACGGTCAACCCGCCCACACGCCTCTCACCGCCCTGGACGAGGATGACCCAGCGCCTCCGGCTAAGAGGCCCAAACTCTTCCATGACGATGATAAGGAGAACTCCAGGGAGGCGTGTGAAACAAGGCTGCAGTGTGAGATGGATCAAAAGGACGACGGCCGTGGATTGGTGGACGACACACAAGAGATTCTACGGGACCTGTACGAGACGTTCACTACGGACTCTTTGTCGCAGCCCCGTCCCGGAACACCCACGCCGCCCCGCCCAGACACGCCTTACTCATCACCATACTCCTGCACCTTACCCACCTCAAGTACTCCTTCCCCCGCTGCCAACAATAACACTACTACCAACACTGTAAGCTGTAGCAACAACACTACAAGTTATAGTACCAGCGTCACCTCCAGCGGTAGCTACTATGACTGGTCCAGGCCGCAACAGCAGCAGTACGCCTGCGGGCACGCCTCACTCTTGGGGAACGACCTCCAGTCAGTAGTGTTCCACAGCCTCATTGCCTCCTTGGAGTCGTAACGCGCGTGTGATGCTGTTGGCGATCTCCAGCAGCAAGAGCAGCAGCGGCAGTAGTGACTCGCGTTGACTGCAGTGCCATGCCAAAGAGGTGCAATCACTGTGCTGGGCGGCCCCCGGACCTGTGTGTGATTCATCAAGTGTTATCAGCTGTGATCTTACCATTATTACGCGGACCCCTGACTCGTGCAGTGCCTGAGTGAAGTGGTGGAGCAGGCGGGGCCTAGGAGCCCACGTCGTGCTGTGTGGTGGTGTGGGGCAGACCCCTGGTGCTAGGCGGCCCACTACCCACGGTGGGGCGGCACCAAGCCGTCGCCCTCACTGATATGTTGTGCTTATTACCAGAAGAGAAAGGGAATGCCGTGGATTATTATGTATAATGATAATATTCATTCGCTCATCATACACATCATCATCATTATTATCAGTATTCATCCTCGCCACAATAACTTACATACGGCAACTTGTCTTCGTTTCGAATTCTTGTGCTACCACATCGTGTGTCAGCAAACTCATACCAAGTGATGAGACATTTAATTGGTGAAGGTCATTTCCGACTTGTTTCAAACGTGGTAATTCACGAGGGCATTGTGTAACGGAGCCCTCCAGTAGGTCAGCGTAGAGTTCGGAAATGTACCCAGGTGGCCACAACTGACTTGGGGGAACAACTCACGTCAGCGTCCTCATTGTTAACACCTTCGTAAGATGGTGGTCAAGGCTTGATGGCGTAATGCTCTCCGTCCTGCCCTCTCAACGGCTTCATTTAACTGTTTTATACAAAGTGTGTTGAATGATATTTTGTACACAACCCAAACTCGAAGAGACGGTTGAGACCCGTGAGACATCTAGTGACGGAAGCTCACAACGCTGGCAGCTAGTGAAGGTGCAGAAGAGTGGGTGTGGTTTGGTAGCAAGGGCTCATGTGTGTTCCCCCAGTCAGTCGCTGCCCCAAGTATTAGTTGTGTAGAACTAACAGGCATTTTGTTGTCTAGTCCTTGTTTGTCCAAAGTTCTTTGTTTTGGTTTGTGGCGGTGTTCTGCAGATTTGGACTCAAACATAAGTAAATAAGTGGACAATCTCAACACTGTCATGGAGTAAGCGGGATGTGGAGTGTGTAGCCTGATGTCTGGTCACAATGTTCCAATTTTTCGAGCTCCCTCTCTATCTCGCTCCCTCAACTAGCTCAACATAACCACTACCGTAATGCTTGTCAAATCACTGCCATTTGTGATCATTTAGGAAATTATTCAAAATAAGAAACTCCATATCGCCTTGAGGTCCAATAACACACCAAGTCTGTAGTTGCGCCGCCCCGTGTCCCGTCCCCTCTTCCTCTTCCTCCCCCAGAAACACTGTTGTCGGCGTGTACATCCCTGAGTACCATCTGATCATCGCATAAAGTAGAATTACTTTTTACAATTTTGTATATTGTACAAATGTATATGGATGAAGAATTTTGTTATGATTAAGAGCTATTTGTATTTAGTTTGTAAAAATAGTAATATTCTCCATGAAAAAGTCACCATGTCAAAATACCAAAATGTAGTTTGTATAAATATTTTGTTCCAACTATTGTATCATATTACGTAGTCGATAATACAATTACCAACGATTTTCAAGACATGTATAATATATCACATTTATTTACATAAGAAAGGTTGTATGAATTATTTATTCTGACTTTCATATTATTTATACTTAGTAAATTGAGACAACAACGAGGGCACCAGGCGATCCAGCTCCAGGTGACGTCATCCACTGCTCGTGACATTGATCCTCCGCACGAGGACTAATGCTGCCAGCAAGCTACCTTGGGTGACGTCATTGTAGGCGAAACCTTGGCTCACAGTTAATACTTAATTATTTGTTGACTTGCAACAATGTTTCCCTGAACTGAATTGTCTAAATTTTGAATCCCTTATTAACAGCTGTTTAGTCTTGCGTGTTCTCGTCTTAAAATCTGACGTCACAAAAAGCAGTTTAGCGGACGTAAAGTCGCCAAATTCTGTAACTGACATTTCCTGTATCCGTTGTTTACGTAATTTAGACAATTTTATGTGTCTACTGACAAAATTTTACAGCCGAGTAGGTTGTGTTGGTAGAGAATAGGCTGTGACCACACGCTCGCTGAGTTGTCAGTTTACAACGTGGACCTAAACTGCTGCTATGAGTAGTGGTTCATACGGCCGCTGGCTCACCCTAATATGTCTGTATATTTGTGACGGGAGAGTCATGAGTGGTTGTATGACTCCCACTACTTGTACAAACCAGGTCTTATAGTTCTTGTTTTTTCTTTTATCAATATTTCTTTTTTCTTCACAAAGTGATTGTGTTTGCAGAGTAATTTAGTTTTATTATTATTATTTTAATTCTTTACCATCCTGTTAACAAAGACCTTGTAAAGGATAACGGTTTAGCACAATTGTAAAACTTTTGTAATATAAGTTTGAAAACTGGGTCTTAATGTACAAAAATAGGCCGCCAGGGGTCGTCTTGGGCGTGTGTTTCCTGTGCTGCCACCAGCCTCCTCCAGTCAGTTTTTAGTCACTGGCGCGTCACGTGTACACAGCTGTAGGGAGGATGTAGGTTCTGGAGGCTGTGGACATTAGAAATCTTTATAAAAGTGTGTGTGAGAGGCTGGTGGGTCGTGACCACACCCAAGGACGCTCCGGGATGTGTCTTGTAGGGAGGGGGGGGGGTGTTAGTGATGTCACACCTGGCTTACATTATCGACATAGGTAGTGACTATGCTATGTAGTGATGACGCTATTTACAAGTGACATAGGTAGTGGTGATGCTATAAACGAAAAAGATAAGGGATGTTTTGTTCCTGCCAAACACGTAAGAGAGGTGTATTAACTTGTTATCTTGTATTTTGTGAATTTTCCAAATATATGATATGAAACTTAACCCAACTCTTTTATTCTACTCTTGGGTATTGCTGTACCTGTCTGTAATTACTCATGAAAACTACCTCTCATTACTCATGAAAGCTACCTGTAATTACCCATGAAAACTACCTGTAATTACTCATGAAAATACCTGTAATTACTCATAAAACCTACCTGTAATTACTCATAAAAATACAAGTACTTTCCCTGTAATATGAATAATGACCCACCGTAATGAAAAATATTGTAAGAGCTGACTGAAATTCTTCCCTGAATAAGATTGATAATATACAGAAAAGAAATACTCAGATAATGGAAAAAAATAATTAATATAAAATGAGATTAAGAGAGAAATGGATTGGCATAGAGGAAGATAAACCCTGAATTGAGAAGCTATTCTTAACAGATAATATTGATAAGATAACTGAAGGAAAGTTATATGATTACTTTATCAGGTAACTTAAGACAACTTTTAAGTAATGAGAAAAAATTAAAATACTAATTGACAACCGAGGATATAAATAAACGTGACGATAAATCACCCTAACCTGATTCACCTGGTGATTTAACACCTTAACACTACCTAGGGTTAAAGGTGGTTCATCGTCAGGTGAAATAAGTGGTTAATCATCAGGTAAAATAAGCCTAAGTGGTTAATCATCAGGAGAAATAAGCTGGGGTGATTAATCTTCAGATGACCTTTTAAGATTTATAACATTCTCCTTAAAGTGTTATACCTTAATCAATGATCCTCAGTAAAAGACATGTTGACAATAAAATAAATACATCTTTTGAAAGTATTTGTTTTTTTCACTTACAATTACTTTAACTCTGGGTTGTGGGTCATGGCTTCTTATTAACGCGGTAAAGTAGTTTGATATCCTGACCTAACCTAACTTAACCCTGGGACTAACACATCAACGAAACAGTGGTGAGTAGTAGTAGGGTTGCCTAGTTTATCTTTAAAAAAAAAGACGAAGCAGATGGTCGCCAGCTCACACACCCGGCCTCGCTGAGCACCTGTGGGGAGAGGCTGAGGTGAGGTGGGGGAGGAGGGTGCGCCCGGTGCTCTCAGTTCAGCCTCACTTTCACTGCGCCGGTGAAACATTGCAAATATTTTCTTCGAAGGGAAAATACCGATGACATATTTTTTTTAGGTATTATTATCCAAGTAAGTATAACAGTTTGTTTTTGGAAGTATGCAAAAAACATAAAAATAAGCTATTGAGTATCCCATAAGCTCAAGAGTCACGTATGGATTTTGAAAACCTGTTATTAAGACAGTTACACATGTTGTTTTACTCTTACAATAGTGTTTCAATAATGAATAAAAATTTCCAGTTTGATCACGTTTATACACCTCATTTAACTCTTTAACAAACACGAGTATAACGTGACAGTGTTTTGGTCACTCGTCTTAGTCTTCAAAAACTCACAAAAATATGACATGGTAACACTCTTGTTGGTACAGCGTGTAGGGCGGCTTAACCCTTGTATTCTAGCTTTGAAAGTTTCCACCAAGATATTTTAACATTTGTACTTACACGTTGCAGATGTCCGGGACTTACTCTATCACTCATTAAACCTTTACACAACAGTTAGCACACTTCTACTCTTGTTAATTGTCTATTTATGGGCTGACATCACCTCTGGTAAATTTCTTAAATAAGTTTTTTGTCTGAGATACAACATTAACGTAAGTAATAGAGCAACACCGGTGACAGTGTGGAGCACCACCACAGTCACTCCTGGGATATACGTTTATACTTGCTCCACGCATTTGGTTTCAAGCCAAATTTTTGACCAGTGTGACACAACTGTTATGGAATCTGCCTGAGACTCAGGTGGTGGGTGATGCTAACCGGTGATATAAAAGCACAGCAATAAGCACGACGTCTGTATCAGGCTAGTGCGCATTACCACTGCGCAGGTGTCAACACAGAGGCAGGGACCCTCTGACAGTTAGCACGTGCTGCAAGCCATTCCATCTACTAATGTTGTCAGTGATTGTGACTTTGACACGAGGGACAGCAACAAGGTGTAGAAGATACTGTACACAAGTTTAGCTCCATGATGACTCAGTGGCAGACGACTACAACTGTTGTAGCTCAGAAAGTGTGGGGTCGTTGTGGAGGTTACCTGAGCTGCTCTGGTAAGTTGCACGTGAAACCCATTTTTATTTCCTTTTGTGTGTGTGTGTGTGTCCTCTGAAGCAAAGGTCAAAACTCTATTTTATTATATTTTTTCTTTGCTTCTTTTATTTAAATTATTTTTGAGGGTCTAATTTGTATTCGTTCAGGACTACCCAGTGATATCCTGTGTTTCACCAAGCACCTGACTCAAGCTGACCAGGGTGTGGGAGGGTGTTCATTCCTTTGGATTTTCTCGAACATATAACTTAACATCTCTGGGTAAGTTGAGACAGATTAACTTTTATAATCACCGTAGTATGCTGGGCGGGAAGAGTGTACGTGCGCTGCCCCAACATCAACTTGTACACGTATAAACACACACTTGTAGCTAACAGTAGATGGTTGCCGGATATTCCCTGACACTTTTGTTTATCTTTACATAGATAGAGAGATAGATTACAAAAGTTTCAAGTCAGATATGAAAAACGACAAACTATTGACGAATAGTTTTCATTAATGGTTGCTGAAGAATTATAGTAAATCGAGCCACAGAGATGGGGAAGAATAGTTATGGATCACCTGAAGATTAGCCACCTCGACTTATTTCACTGTTTAATCATCAGGTGAAATAAGGTGATCCGTAGTTTTGTGTTGTAGTTCAGAACATTATGAAATATTTTGTACGTGCAGGTTATTGAAGGAGCTTTATAAACACAGTGTATAATTTACCTTTAATACTTGCTGACTGACACAGTTTTAAGCCTCTGTATAAACGTGTAACTCACAGGAAACTGAAGTTATTTGTCCCTGAAGTTATGTTTTGACAAGGAAAAGTTTGTAGGACAAGCAGCTTACGTATAAAGTAAAGGGGAGTTTATTACCTTCATGTGGATAACAAATGAGAGAGATTCCTGTGACATTTTTTCTTCATTGAGATAAAAAGTTACGTTACTGATTCATGAAAAGGGAAATAATGTTACTTGGGACTTTTCATCTGTGTCATGAGCTAGGTCGTTTTGACTTTTGTTTTGTTTACTAAGTTATGTGTTTATTTCGCCATTAAATAAATCACTCATGGAATCATCTTGGACGCAAATTAAAGAAACTATATTTTTTGTTATTCGTCTTTTAAAAAAAACTTGATTGACCTTTCCTGTTCGATAACCATAGCCCAAAAAATCGTATCAAAAGACGACGAAGTAGTTTGAGGCAACAAAAGTCTATTCAGGGTTTTATTTTTGCTTTTTTATCCTTTTTTGTTTGTTTTTTTAAGCCCAGGACAGGTTAGATAGGTTGAGGGTTTTTCTTCCGTGTGAGTTGACTTGTATAGCCGGTGTGGTGCGTCTGGCTGGTCGGTTCAAGCAGATGTGTTCCTACACCTGTCATGCACAACACTCAGTCCGAGACAAAGAAAAACAAAATCCCGAAATTAAATATGAAAAAAATATTAAAAAATGACGACTAATGAAGATTTAAATAATAGAGTTAGTAAAATAGGAAGAACTTGCGAATGATAACTAAGAATAGGGAGAAAAGGAATAATTTATTACACACACACACGTCATGTATAATTACACATCTTTACACACCATGCAGTTATTCCCACACATGTACACCTTCTCATATACAGATACACACACACACAGACATACACACGGAGTTACCAAATGCAAATAAATAAATACACAGACTTAAAACTACAAAACAGACATAAACCCCCTTCCTCCTCCTCTTCCTCTTATTCTTCTTCTACTACTACTACTTCTTCCTCCTTATCCTACTTCTTCCCTTTACTCTTCCGCTTTTTTTTTTTTACACGGGGATTAGCCCACCCGGGCACAGGTCACCGACCGAAATCGGGGCCTGGGGGGCGAAAATGTAATAATCATAATAATAATAATAATAATAATAATAATAGTAATAATTCAGATAAGTAAAATTTAAAAACAAATAATGATAGCGATACAAAACTACTACTAATAAAGAACCATATAGAAATAAAAAAAATAAAAGAAAATAATCAAAGTGAGAAACGATATTCTGTATGTACTGTATGTTGTGTTGTCAATAGTAAGAGAAAAAATTGAAACCTGCAATTGTGTGTAAATGAGGCAGAAAGTCAGATCAGCAACCTGGGACTTGGTCACAATTTTTGTAATGCCAATGGCAGCAGGGTCTACCATTAGACAACACATTATGCTTCCAATATCTTCCCAGGCGGTAGTACCTCCCTGTTTGGTCGCTGCCTACTACCTACTACTGTAATCACTCCCTCTCCCTTCCGCTTACTCTCTTCTTCTTCTCCACATCCCTTTCATCCTCCTCCTCCCCACCCCTTCCACACCCACCTCACCCTCCCCCCCCCTCCTCCCCACACACTCACAGGAACACATTGGTGAAAGTCAACGTAATTGTACTTAGATGAACGACCCAGAGTGCATTAGGCCGGACTGGGCAGCGTGGAGTGACACCACCACCCACCCTCCCCGCCCACCAACCACCCTTCCTGCGAGTGACACCTGTCCACCACCCACCCTGCCCACCACCCACACCCCCCACTGTCCACCACCCACCCCCACTGTCCACCACCCATCATCCCTGTCCACCACTCACCATCCCTACCCATCACACTATCCCTGTCCACTACCCACTGTCCCTGTTCACCACCCACTATCCCTACCCACCACCCACCGTCCTGTTCACCACCCACCATCCCTGTTCACCACCCACTATCCTCGTCCACCTCCCACCCATTCAGGTAAGCCAGCTAGGCTCACCCACCCACCCACCCAACTTGTTCACAAGCCTGCCGAAGAGACAACCAGCCACTGCATAAAACACGACCGTCTCTTTCATGTTATAATGTGAAGACGTACGAGAGTTTACT